CAGCAGGAAGCACTGAAGAACAAGAACAACAGATGAGACAAAACATTGAGCTTATTTCTGATAAAACAGGATGTGCAAAATCCTAATCAGAATGCTGTCATTGTAACACACAGAAATTATGTGTAACAATTGCCCTACCTTAAGAATAGAGGTAAGAATTACGTTCCCTTGTGAGAAGGAAACAGACAAAATGCATTCAGAATTTAGACTCAAACAAAACCAAAATAATCTCTTTCCCATTAGTTGTATTGCCTTCTGCTTTATAAAACCTGAATCACCACCAATTTCACTTACTAACTGAAACAACCCACTACAGACTGAATTTTAGCTTCTACTTGGATCAGAAAGACTTCTGTATTGTGTAATACAGAACGTAAGTCATTGACAAGGCAACATAACTACCAGTGCTAAACTTAGCACCAGGTCACATAAGCAAGACTCTTCCCTAGCCCAGCTCTCATGTCTGTTGTCACAGGAGAGGTCTCTCATAGCTACCAATGCACCACAAACAGCTTCCAAACGTTGCACATGACAATTGTTCCCCCAGTGAGGCAAGTATAATTGCAGTCCCTTTAATGAACTTAGAGATTCTGGAAGTGAGAGGCCCTAGAAAATACTATTTGATTAACTTCCCAAACCCAGATTTTACACTAGTTCTTGCCACTGGAATGTTTTTTTTTTTTCTGCTAATAATGAGGTTAAAAAGAATCTGTCTCAACTTTAATATGAAGAAATAAAGCTCCGGACACATCACAAATTTGGAAAACTTACTTAAGAAACAAATAGTGTTCTTGAGACTGAAGTAGTGCCCCAGCCTCATACCCTACACTTTCAAACAGGTGGTTACATCTGTTACTTCACAGTCACTCCTAGGAGTAAATGCATGCTTTCTAGAGGAAAAAAAACACTGTTTTGATTCATTCTCTAAAAATGCAGGTTCTTTCTGGGGTGGAAATCACAACAAGTAAGATTTCTACATCATATTTTGTTATAAATGTAATTAGTTGTCTTGCAAGTGTTATTTAATGCAGGTTCTGTCTCATAACCTAAGGCATAATTCTAGTAAGGATGTAAATGGCTACCCTGACTAAAGAAAAATTAAGATGGAAAAGAGAAAATAAATGGAAGAATAATGCAATAGTGTCACTGACAGAAATTTAGTTTTTTTAAGTGAGAGTAAATAGACAAACTCATCATGTTAATGCAGGAACAGAAGAGTAACATTTCCTTCAATATTAAAAATCCTAAATCTCAGAAATGGCATTTACAAAAAATATCAACAGTAATTCTAGTAAATTCTATCTTAAATATAGCCTAAGTGGCTTAAATGAATCAAAAGGTGCCCAAACCAGAAACAGTGCTCTGGCACACAAGTGACACTGAAATCTGTCTTTCAAAACCTGTAATGCAAAGTGTGCACATAAATTAAGTCCAAAATCCTTAAACGGGTGATGAAAAATCCACACAAATAATTTGGAATCTCCTACTAATGCATTTCTCAAGCCAAAGAATCCATATGCATCTTTTAATATAACAGGTTGTTTGCAATCAGCTCGTGATGAAACATAGTTTAAATTCATATTATCACCAACTCCAACACTTTTTAACATAATAAAAGGGCAGTGCTCTGCCAGTAGAATAAAGTTAACACTGAAGAAGAGATTCGCACAAAGAAAGCAGCACTCAGGTAATTAATAATTATTGCCAACTCTGTTCATAATTTAATTGCACACAAAAATACCATAGCTAATTTCACAGAGTTCACAGACCTTGCTGGGTCAATTCAAACTGCTGGCCCATATAGTTTGACATGCTCTCTCTTCCATTTACCAGCACCTAAGACTGCAGAGGAAAGTGAAAAATGTGCACCAAGGGAGCTGTGAGTAAGATTTGCCATGAGGTCTGGCCCAAGGCAAAAGCTTTTCTCAACATCTAATTCAGGCACTTAGCAGACCACATTTTCCTCATTCAAACAAACAAGGCAATTCAGTACCTACCCACTATGTGAAAAAATAAGTATGGACAAAGTTCAGTCACTTGAGAGCCAAAAGTGTACAAAACAAAATTTCAGTGTAACCCTAAAGCAGAGCTGTGACACAGTCTTTAGCACTGCACAATTTGTGGGAAAACAGATGACTGGAGTTTTCTCAAACTTCTCAAGAAAACACTGAAAGCTAGTGACTGTAACCAAAGCAAAAGGAAAAGGGAAGTTGCACAGCAACTAACAGCAATGTTTTGTCCCTGCCAAATTAAAAAGTGCTCTGAAAGTGCCAGGATGGGTTTGGGATGGTCAAAGCTTGATCCTGTTCTGCAGCAAAAGGGGTAGGAAGAAGACAAGGGATGGAGCAGCTCCCTGCAGCCCAACAATCACACAGAGCAGACATCAGTCACCCTCAAGAGGGTCTGTGAGCACCTGAGACCAAAATGACCCAACCCCTACCTCCCTGTGCAAGGATCTTTGTAAAAATCTCAGTCGAACATTTCAACTCTGGGCTGAAATCAATTGTGCCATCTCTGTCAAAAGCCTTGTGCAGAATCAGTTCTGAACAGTCAGTAAACATCAGCTGAGCCCTGTTCATGTAATAAAAGTAGAATTCCACTGTGTAAGGCATGGGTCTCACAAATATATTGCATTCCTGAAATAGCCCTTGCAGTTAGAGACTGTGTATAATAATATGTATACCCTGCTTGTAATGTTGATGGCAGTGTCAGACTGGCTCCTTCTTTGCTTCCTTCTTTCCACACTCTTCCCATAATCTGTGGTTAGGAGACATCTGTCAGCCATATCATTCTGGGACTTTGAGATTTCTGAAGTGAAAAATAAAGAGAGAAGTCACTACAACAAACTTCGCCAGCAATCCTGTAGATTTATAGGCTAATTCTGTAGCTTTCAAGCGTTCATCCTGAAACTTTAGTATTGGTCTCCTAAGAGTAAGAAACAGATGGGAAGACAAGTGCTTGTCACATTTTATGTAATTATATTTTGCCTGCCTAAATCTTTCTTGCCATTTCAACTGGAAATTATACTCCTTGCTTCCTATCACTACAGCTGCTGCAAGGAATTGTATACCATCAGTTTCCTTGAAGAAGTAGCTATCACAGGCCCTGTGTATAGTTTGATTTGTAAAGCAGTTTGGTTTGGTTCAGGATAAAAGCAAGATCATTATAACAACATAAAGAAAAATGACAATGAAAATCAGAAAGCAGAACATATTGGGAAACATTTAGAAATGTATCCAAAATATGGATGGAAGGAAGGATATTACATGCTCTGGTCATAAACCACATATAATTTTAAGAACATGAGTAGCCCTCATTGACTTCAATAACATTACTCATAAGTATGGACATAATTTACCCATAAGTACCTATTGAATTAGTGCTTCAGTAACATCTAGATTGCTGCCAAATAAATCTACAGGACAATTGGTCACTTAATGCACTGTTTTTTGCTTCTTATTCCTCAGGGTATAGTCAGAATTTCACTTAAAGGGAGGGCAGCACTCATCCAGGATTTCTGAAAATGAGCACAGTTAGCTGCAGACACTTTGTTGTCAACTCCAGATAGTCTCTCATGAAGAATTAATAACTTATAAGTGGTACATGAAATAGCTATCATATGTTTAATTCATACAGAAGAAATAAAGATTTCTCTCACAACGTGAACCCCTGTGGAGAAACCTCAGATAGCAGACAATACAACATTATGGCATCCAAAACCAATAAAAAATCACACTTTGGTGCCAAAGACACTTTGGGTTAGTTTTGTTCTTAGCAGCAATCAGTCATCAGATGTTTACTGTACTCTGTGTACTCCATTAAGGCACCATGTGACCTATTCATAGGCAGGCTCAATTAAGTCATCTCTGTAAATGAAACCAGGATTTTAAAACACACATTGAAATCAGAGATCATAAAAGAGACGGGAGTGAGAGTTCTAATGCAATAGATACAATCTGAGTAGCTTGACCAGCAGTAGAAGCAGAAACATCAGTTTGCCTCATACTCTTAAAATGAACAGGTTACAGAACGGGTTACTGTGAGATAACATGAATCTTCAGCCTTCATATCTATTCCTCTTTTGGCTTCTCTACCAAAGTGTCACTAAGATGGACACTATCTCTTGTGCCAAGGGCAATTTTTCATTGCAAATTAAACTATAACTCATTTTACATTCACCAAATGGCCCCCGTTGAATTACAATCCCCTGTTGCTGCCAAACCATGCTGGAACAGCAGGTAACAGCACGAAGAGCAGACTGTACAATGGCAGCATTGTGCCACACATGCTGATCCTTTGTTCCTGCTGCTTCCAGACACGTACACACACTGGCTTCAGCGATAGAATAAGAGGCATAACGAGGTTCTCCAGGTTTTTTTACTGCAATACACAAGAGCTGGGTATATCAAATACCTCTGCAAACCAGGACATTTTTATCTAGATAAGATACAGGGTACTAACTTTAGGCACTCATGACCAATATAATTTATCAGCACAGTACCAGGTTTCACTGGGAGGCCACATTGTCTGAAAAAGCTATTTTCTTAAGTCAAGAAACCCAAGTCTTTCACTCCATAAGACTTCCTGTATGTTTTAATTACATACAGCTCAACTGAGCTAACAACTTGCTGCCATCTCCCTCTGCAACCAATCCCTGGCTCCTGGTCACACAGCCCAATACCCTATGTTGTATGAGTTCCAACATATCCATCCTAACTTGAGCCTATTTAACTCTCTAAAACAGCAGAAAAGTACCTATGTGTTTTGTCTAGGCTGATGTTCTGCCCTTTTAATTAGCCAAAACAGCTTCCAGAGGAGTCCAGAAACACTGCTGCTAATTTGAGTGATGGCAGCTGTGACAACCCACCCTTAAGGGTGGCATAAGGTTAGGACCTTCCTTTTGGTAGCAGTGAACTAATAAACTAGCTTGCTGCAGTCCTGAAAGTCTTTACCAGTAACTGTGGGATATGACCAGGCTTCAAACTAACAGAAAGCTGAATAAATTGCTTTGCAATTCTGTGCTGCCTCAGCTATCTGCATCCAGTAATAAAGCGTCCTATGCTACCCTACACTTCAGTTCAGGAGCAACAGCCACCATGTCTCTGCATAGCTTTAATGTGTGTTCACAAAGACACAACATTAAATTTGCATAGTTAAAGGAGAACAGGCCTTTAGGATGCATGGAAGAAGTTAAAGGAAAGACCAAACAAGAGCTAAAGACAAGGGTTAGGAGGAAAGGCACTGAAGCCAAATTTATTCAGATCTAATCTCACATTTGGGGTTGTGCAAATTGAAGATAGTAAGAAAATACTAAGGTTTGTTCAAATACATGCAAATTTGCAAGCCTCTAATCTTCACAGGGCTCAGAAGTTGTTTTCCTGTGGTCACTGATGTCTTTAATTTGTTCTCCACGAAGGCTGGCTGTCCTCAGTGTAGTTAGCCTTAGAGGTGCACACACAGTCTGCACCCCCAGGAACAGCAGGAAGCATGAGAGAACGGAAAGAACCAAAACTACCAGAACGAAAGAACAGTTGTTAGGACTGGACATCACACAGAAGTATGCACTGAAAAACCCCACACAGCTAGACAGATTGAGAAGGAGGAAGGAAGTCCTTTCAAAAACTGTCAGTGAATGAAAATATTAAACTTCACGTCCCCTACATGACAGATGCTTTCACAGGGTCAGTTGGGGTTCAGTCAGATAGATAATACGATAGAGATCACTACAGCAGAAAGTGGTTATTACTCTGGGCTAATGTGAGTCATATATACTGCAGCTAAACACCCAGTAAACTTAAAAATAACATTATACGGCCTTTTCACATCTTTACAAGAAAGGCAATCTGGGCTGATATAATCAGCTTATTTAATAACTAACAATACCGAAGGAGAATTAGACTTACTGTATTATTTTTCAGGTTGGCACAACCTTGGCATTAGTCATTTCAGCCATTACTTGATATCCTTTCTTTATAACTATTTCTCGGTCAACAATCTGGCCAAAAAATTGAAACATCTGTCTATGTTACTCTAGAATGACAAAATGGTGAAAGCTACTTACTTTTTATATGTGTTGTGAGAGACAAAAACAAGTTTTCCACAGATTTATTAAACCTTTTAGATTGCCCAAGTTCCTGCAAATGGGAGATGCCAAGAGTAAGAAAACACAAAATATCCATCCTTTTAAAGTTTCCATGATCACACATCTACAGATCACATAACAGTCAGATGGTAAGGCTGCAGCCCTTTGCTCACTTCTGCAGGCAAATACACCTGAGGATGTATTTCACCTGGCTGAAAACTGTCACACTGTTGTATGAAGATGGAAATTAATCTTTTCAGTTGCACACTCTTTGATATCTAAGTGGAACTCCTTGTAGGAGGATCACATAGCAATTTCATAAATGCAACTAATTACATCATTGATTTGATGCAATATATTAAATATTTTCATCTATTACAGATGCTTCTGTGCCTCTGAATCAAAGAGTTTTCATCAAGCTTCAGGTAAGCAACAAGAATGTTTACAGAATTGCAATGGGTTTCAAAATCAGCCTGAGGATCCAGTCCAAAATGAGGTGAAACAGTAATTTAGTGCAATTTCTATGAGTTCCAAGCTGTGTTCTACTATTCTGTCCACTAGAAACTGTAATGCAAAGGCAACCGTCAAATTAACTGTTTTTCACTCAGTAATGGAAGCGACACACAAAATGATCCCTTCATAAATGATTATTGAATGTCATAGGATCATGGAATCCTTCAGGGTGCAGGGGACCTCAGAAGATCTCCCTCCAGCCTTCCTGTAGAGAGGCACCAAAAACCAGCTGCAGTATTCTAGTGTCAAGTAAAGTGGTTAATGACTTCCCTCAAACTGAAAACTAATTGAAAACAGCCCTCATAACCTCTAAACTTTCCGTCCTAGGACAAACACAGCATAAAAATCGTGACAAAGGCACATAAGGCAGCAGTTCTGTTGCAGCGTGACGTTACAGCAGTTATTTGTGGCTTTGCTGTGAGTGGCCCTTCCCTAGGAATGACACCCTAGGGGGTGCATGGATGTGTATTTCACGGATACATACATTTACTGGCACATTGGTCCGTGCTGTCGATTCTGTGAAAGGAGGTGGAGTTGGAGGTACGACTGAAATTTTACTAGAAATTTAAGAGATAATAAACAGCGCAACAATTAATATATTATGAAAATAGATGGATGAATAAACCATGTCCATGCACAGTATCTTTATGATCTGTCTTTCCTGCACTCTATAAAGATCTGGGTTGACATCCTGTGTCTTTAAGAGTTGCAACACAGGTTTATTGTTTATCTGTTCTTAAGAATTAGGACTAGCTTTCTATCTTCTCTTGCTCTGGGAAAAATTATTACATTAAAACTATCAGGAAGACCTAATTTAGGACAGGCTCCCTAGACTTCTATACGGTTGGCAGTATTACAGCCTGAGTTCAGAGTTTTAAAACACAATTCCTGTATAACACACCCCATCTCTGTTCCAGAGATGTTTTCAGAAAACAGTCATCTTTATTTACAATACTAAAAGGATCCTTCCTTGCCTGGGTCCAG